CACTGCTAAACACAAAAACATTTGATGGATCTATATTAACAATACCCTTAATAATCTTACACTTGAATCAAATCCCCTCAGACCCTTCTCTTCTCCAGAGAAAACAAGTTTAGATATTTTATTTTCTCATTCAAGTATCATCCTAGTGGCTCTTCTCTGAAGCTTCTCCAACAATTCAAAGTCCTTGAGGAAGGGACCACAAAACTGTATACAATGCTCTAAATGAGGCCTTACAAGTTATCTATACAGTGAAACCATAATATCCTTTGTCTTTTATTCAATATTTCTATAGATATTACCCAAAATCCTATTAGCCCTATTGCTAGTTACAATACACTGTTTAGATATCTTAAGTGATTTTTTTTATCGCAACACCAATTCCCATTCAAATTGTAGCAATAATATGAATTGTGCAAACCTACATGAATCACCATACATTTTGGATAGTTAAACATCATCTGCTACATACTGGCCTAATGCATCAAATGATCTAAATCTCCCTGCAAGACTGCAGCATTTTTGATACACTTAGCCACCCCGAAAATCTTAATTTCATCTGCAAACTTCAAAATTTTGTTAGTCATTCCAGAGTCAATATCATTAATATATATCACAAACAGCAGAGGACCCACCACAGATCCCTGAAGCACACTGCTTGTAACTATGATCCAGTCAGATCTAACTCTATTTATTACTATTCTCTACTTTTTACTCTCCAGCCAATTTTCTATCTAATTTAATAACATTCCCCCCACACCCACAGATTTAAGTTTTGTAACAAGTCTTTTGTGAGGCACCTTATCAAATGCTTTTTGAAAATCAAGGTAAACCAAATCCACAGTATTTCCTTCATCAACTCTTATAGTAACATCCTCAAAGAATGTCAGAAGATTTGTTAAACAAGACTTTCTCTGAGTTAAACCATGCTGGCTCTTTGACACTATATCAAACTACTTTAAGTGACTCTGCAATGCATCTTTAGTCACACTTTCCAACTACGTATTAATCTGGTCACATGAAGATAACTACTACCCCAATTTATAGATCACTGCATATCAATAAAATTCCCATAATCTGGCAACACGATGATAATTATGTATTTCACTATAAATTAATCAATCTCAATATTTACTGTATATGCCCAAATATAATTCACACTTTTTTTCCTCCAAATAACTCCTGAAAAAATTGACTGCACATTACATTTGGGCACCTTCAGTTGAATGATTAGCTTAGTGTATTAAAATGTATAAACTTTTCAATATATTTTATAAAAATGGATATGTAAAAAAAATGTCAATGAAAGATTTCCAAAAATATTTAATACATCGATAGTTTTTACTGTATTGAGAAACTATTCAATACATTTTATACAACTGTTGTGAAAAAAAAAAAATGTTCTTCAATTTAAACATTCAAAACTGGATGTGCATTATATTCAAGCAAATACAATGGTTCACATTGAAAGTGAAAAAAAAAATATGCCTAGTATTCCAAGGTATACTAGTGAAAAAGATAATCATAATCACACAGCTATATTCACCAAATTATTATTATTCATTTTGCCTAGAACTTTACTTATAAGCAGATCTTCTTTGTATGCAAAAAATAAATGAACATACATGTTTCCTCTTGAATTGAAGGTAGATTTCTCTCTTCTTTCAACTGATGGATACTCTTTAGTGTTCTGTTAATCAAGGCCTCTTTTAAGTTACTTTTTTTTTGCTTGTGTTGCTCTATAAATAATAAAATTAAACTTATGTTGATATTTAACATTGGCAAACAGTGTAAATGAAATTTTTTCTCTCATGATTTATAAGCCTAATTTCTGATAAAGAAGTTAGCACACATAATCATATACAAAAGTTGTCATGATTTTCAAACGAGACCCATAACTCAAGCTCTTTCGAATAATTCACTATTCTTCTTCAGGAGAATAAATGGTCTGTGCTGTCCTAGCACATCAGTATGATGCAGGTACCTCAGTATTTTTCATGAAGTTTTCTGAGTAGTCTGAAAGTCTTGCTAGAGTTTAAATCAGAGTGCACTTGGGCAACTGTATTGGAGAGAGTGTTTATTTCAAGGAGAATATATGGTTTTGCTTTGTGACAGGTAAAATGTTCAGCTTCCATTAGGTTTAGAAAGTCATCTGGTTTAAGGCTTTGTGAATGGTTGTTGGATGAAAGGTGATGACTTCCCTCAAAGGTTGTAGAGGATTCTGTGTATGGAAGAACAAAAGCCTCAGTGGTTGTGGAGTTTGGAAGGTTATCAAAAATCAAATATTGCTCTAGGAATAATAGTAGAAGCCTTAAAATCTCCATAACAACTAAATTTGGGAAAAGGTTATAAAGGGGTTAGTAAGTGTATAGAGGAATAATAATAATAATGAACTATTCTAAAGTGCTCGAGTTTTGGGTCTCGTTTGAACCCCAATTTATAAGTCTATGTATATATTCTTATATAACCATGCCTGTAACTGGGGTATTGACCACTGTTCTTGATCGAAATAAGTTTCCACAAACACTTCAATGCCACAAAGCTTAGAGTCTAGTTGTAATAGTGATAATGCTATAGTTATTAAACAATATTTTAAATTCAGACCAAAACTACTCACCAGTCACGATTCAGCCTGTTCATATACGTTAATAGCTACGGCCATGTTGTCTCGTCGGTTTGCTGTACTGACTCAAAAGTGAAACTTAAAGACGCTATTACTTTAGATGGTAGAGAAATTAGTTAATAACTTAATGAATTATTACTAGTAGTAGTAGCCCTTGCTTATTCCAACGGACTGTAATAACCATAACTTCCTATTAATAATATAATTACTTGCTTTCCACTATATTATTGACAATATTAGTAGTTATTAGATACCTAATCTGAATATTATACTTTTAAGTTTTATATTTATATAGGCCTATCTCACTAACTTCGTCGGCCGAGTGTCAGTGTGAGCATGTGATATTTGTTATGAAAGTATACTGTGAAGTAAACAGTCATCAAACTGTTAACCTACATGAGAAATTTTTAATTACAGAGATTATAAATCCGCCTTTGCGTTGACTTACTACTAGAAAAGTTCTTGTTTAATATTAAATAGATAAGATCATAATTATGACAATCAGTAACACAGTATCTACAATCTACGTATACATACGTGCACTGTAAAATGGCGGCAAATAAGACCTCACCGGATATGGTATTTACGAGTGGCGACACGCCGTAATATTCACAGTCATATTTATTATTCTATGATCGCTCAAATGTCAGTAAATCAAAACATGTAGTCCATTTATATTTGTTTTGGCTTTCAATTAAACTTACTTGCAATTGTTACATGTAATGTGATTATGCTTAGCACAAAGGATGAATTTAAAATAAATTTAAATTTACTCGCTTTGACCTTTAAAAAAAAAAGAAAGAAGGAAAACCGAATTATTTCTCATGCATTAATTGAAAATAACTTCCAATAACATTTTTGTTCTTCGTCTAAATTTTTATTCAGATATGAACACTTATATTCATTTGAATTTAATCTGCTAGAACTCATGTCCAAACAGGTATAGACAACACACAAAAATACAGTATTAAAAAAAATTATGAAAGAACAATAGTTAAAATTAAATTTTAAGTGAAGAGCTGATAAGCGAAAACAGAATCTGGTGCTTGAACCTAGGACCTCTGGCTAATAGGCCCAATGCTGTTAGTCTTAGTTATTGCAAAACTTACCTGTAATCGTACTTTGTTATTATATGAATAACAAGTTCTCTTTCTTTCTTTGACCATCCATATAATGATGACATAACACTTTTTTAAACATATATTTTTTGAATAAAGAAAGTGTCTCGAAATTTTTTCGAAATGCGTTGAAAAGTTGTTACTGTGTTTTAATGGTACAAAATATCGTTGCGTATCTGCTTGTTTGTTAATTTCTGGTAGAGATTCTTTCCGAGGAACTTCAGCGATACAAGTCCTTTTTTGTTTAAACTAGTTTATTCTTCCTCGATACAAACTTTTAGTACACAGTAATTCTACAGTCAGTACGTTTCTCGTCACTTTAACTTAACGACTTTTATAATCACAGCGATTCACAACCTCGATAACTTCGCTCTCTACGAGTGCAAAAACACACACACTAGCTCGAAACAGAATCGTAAATTACCCGAACCTCACCCTAACTGATGTTCGCTTAACTTCCCCCCCCACCCCCAACTTCTTCTGCCAGGCTTATATACTAACAAAGAGGCGTCTCCAACATTCGCGGAGTTCCCCGTTAATTCGAGAAACTCAGTCACGCATGCGTCAGCAGCGTTACGTGACTTCCGCTGTCGTAACAATATTTCTTTCGCATGTTTATCTGTCACTTATTCAGTTTTGTTATTCCAGGAAGAGGAATGCAATGACATTATAACTTCACTATTACATGATTTGTTATGTAAACAGCTCTACATTGTTTTCGTTTTCCAGTCTTTTTTTTTTTTACATTCGGGTACAACACAACAGAAAATCGTCAATTTATCATATGTCCTGTTACACAATTCACAATATATCCCTTGTGTATAACATTCCCATAGTGTATTTTTATAACATTAAGAACTTAAAACTTATATAATATCAAATATTTATTACTTATATTTTGATGTCAAGTTTATTGGTGTATCGTATATAGTGATAATTAAGTAGTTTAATTAAATTTTTAATGTGACTCACTAAAACGTCGTGAAATGCGTGGTTTGACCCGCCCATTCTGGCTTACTGTGATAATGCAACATTAAATATTATTTCTTAAAATCATATTGATATTTTCAATGAAAATAAGTTTTATAACCAAACACATGATTAAACATAGTTCTATTTTTATGCAAGAATTATAATTTAAACATTATGGATAATTAGATATGCAAAAGCTACATATCTTTCATTTATAATCCACTTTAATCAAGTTAACATAAATAGTCATAACAGGCCTACAAAAATAATAACTTTTTTGAAATATGGAAAAAATAATAATTCATACCATTGACTGTTGTACCTTGTGTTCCCAAATGAGTTACAAAGTGTACCAGATTTTCGGCTGCAATTAATCTCTCATAATCTGTAAATAGAAAAACAAACCTTTAGGATTTACTTCTTTAAAATTTTCAGGATACAAACAACAGTTACTCTGATTAGATGTCAAACTTGGTACGTAAGTAGTCCCTCCCTCCCACCAGTGGCAAAGCGGTATGTCTGTGGACTTACAACGCAAGAAACCGGGTTTTGATACCAGTGGCGGGAAGAGCACAGATAGCCCATCGTGTTTGTTTGTTTCTAATTAAGCACAAAGCTACACAATGCCACCACGGGTATCGAAACCCGGATTATAGCGTTGTAAGTCCGCGGACATACCGCTGTACCAGCCCATTGTGTAGCTTTGTGCTTAACTTAAAAACAAATATAACTAGTTGGGTACAAAAAAAATGCGAAAATGTAAGTAATTTCTTCATGGAAACAATGTATAAATTCTCATATTTTTTTTTCAAAAATAGTATACAAAACGTACCCGGAATGTTTATAGTGGAAAGTAGTTCCGTATTTTGGTATCTTGAGCCTTCGAAATGTGCAGAACAAATACACCATGAACGACATTGTTTCGTGGTCACTAGATATCCCTTCTTGTGTCATTCCAGCACGCAACAGCCAATCTTTACACAAAGTGACATTATTTATAGGCAGACGATGAAATTGAACATTCGTTCCGGTGTATGACTTATTTTTGCAACTTTTCACTAAGGAAAAACTGATGCATTTTTTTGTCAGTTTATCCAACCCTGTGCACATTTCCGCCATTAACCAATGTTAACTACCCGTGTGATCTGTTTACATAAAATTGTACGTGTTACTCAAGCATTTGATTGGTCAAACTTTCTTATGTTCGGCAGTCGCTCGTCGATTTCTGCAGCGATTCGGCAAATTCCGGTATGAAATTGCTATTAAGGTTTAAAGTTTAATTGTTTATCAGTGTTGTAGGTCTCGAGACCATCCTTCGGAAGGTCTCGGTCTCGATGTTTTACAGGTTTAGAAGACGAGACCGGCTAAATTTAAAAGTTTTAACAGTTGTAGTAAAAACCTCTTAGTAGAATACCTTATTTTTGTTTACGTCACCAACCGTCATATTGCCTGTACGCCAATCCGCGGTTATAACACACGCTTTTCAAAACTAACTGTTACAATACATTGTATTACGCATAGGCTTACTACAAGTTGATATGAACTTCAACTGGTGCAAGTATTTATATCAAACTTTAGCGATTATCCCTAATATTCAACATGTCTAGTAGATCTGCTGTGATCCTGTTCGGCTTCAAATATCATAAAGAATTTACTGACACCAATATTGGTTTTATTTGCTGACCTTTTTGATTCATTTATTATTATTTTTTTCATAGGAGGAGATGTTAAAACAAAGACTTGGGGTTAACATGTAAAATATTTGCTGTTAAGATACTAGTAAAGTTTGTTTGATGCATGCGATTTTTATTTTTCCTGCTTTATTGTTCATTGTGTAATTTATTACAAGGTCTCGGTCTTGGACATTGAGGTCTCGACTATAACTCTGTTATTTATTTTCCTCTAAACGAATATATGTATTATTTTAACATACTGTTACAGCAGGATCGGGGAACATCACGAATATCCTAGTATTTGCTACACGCCCTCTATTTTTGTATATAAGCCCGGCAAATAAAGTGGAGTGACGGCATAAATAATAGCAGACAGGGAGATATAAAGACAGATAATCGAGTCAAGTCGTAAGTAAAGTGCGTGAATCGTTGTGAATTACAGCGTGTGTTTAAGTTAAAATGACTGTGGAAATTAAGTTTATTGCAGTGTTGTACTGAGAAAGAATAAACTAGTTTTATTTAAGAAAGGACTTGTATCTCTGAACTTCTTCGGAAATAATTTTGCGATAAATTAACAAACGACCAGAGACGTAACAATACTTTCAATTTCTAGAAATTTTCACATAAAATAATTTACATTTACAAACAACACGAGTGAAATGAAAATAAGGTGAGAAAAAGGAAATTAAACAATTTATACTGTTCGAAAATGTTTAAGTTGTAAACTTGTGAACATTACTAAAGCTTCCTGGTGTCTTAGCCGGAGTCAGAGGCTTCGGGTTTTGATATCCGTGGTCAAACAAAGCATTACCAACACATTGTAACAAAAAATATGGTAAAATAAAGATGTGCAGTATTTTATTACGAACAAAACAAATTCTGGAGAAAGCATTTTAAAAATTATATGATTTTGAAATTATGTTTGTTTTTAGAATACAGATGTAACGTATTTGTTGTAAAGCACAAAGCTGTATAATGGACTATCTGTACACTGTCTATCGAGGGTATCGAAACCCTATTTCTAGCGTTATAAGCCCACTTATTTACCGTTCAGGCACCGGAGGACCAGATGTAATGTGTATACAGGTACCAATACAAAATGAAATTATTTTCCTACTTATCGAGAGAGGGCAGTAGTATGCGTTTTCTGTTTACTGGCTAAAGTTGTTTTTTGTCGATTTCAAACGATAGAAGTCCGTAAACATCTTGAAATGCTTGGAAATAATTTAATATAAGCTGCATACGGGTGAGTGAAAGCTTTTTATATTTAAAAAACTAATTAAGTATTAATATATTGCACACGAAGGAACGTATTTCAATTACTTGATTTACGATAGCTTTGTACTCCATAAAATATTCATAGGATAAAAAACCCCATATAGCATGAAAAATCGATAAATAGCTTATATTTAAGTTCAGCCATACACTATATAGCAATATTCGTCATTATGTGAACTTATTTTATGTGTCTTTATAAAGTCTGCACTGTAACTAATATAAAACTTATAATTGGATATTACTAGAACGGTATAAAAGTTGATTGATGTAGCACGAAAAAAGTAATTGAAATGGATACTCTCTCGTTAGATGGCAGAACACCATTTAAACCATAATAACAAACGGTTGAAATTTATTTACAGACTCAAACAATAAGTGAAACATTTAAGAATGTAAATTGTTAAAATGACGATGCAAAATAAACAAACAAAATAATTACACTATTAAAAATTACAAAATCAACACCAGAAATCTTTAGAACAATGTTTAAGTATCTTTGTTTGTTTGTTATGAATTTCG